CCAAGAAGTTCACTTGGCAGTGCTTTGGGTGCTGAAAGGACCCATGGTTCCTCTGTGGCAGTTCATAGGCAGGCCTCCCTACAGAGTCACAATGGTTGTGAGCAGCCCAATTTGTAGATGGTCAGAGCCACAGGATCATGGTTTGGAATATTCTGGCACATATTCATGTGTATACACACACACACACACAATAGGTCAGCTACCTGGCATAGAGCCCCGTTGGAGGAGACCAGAAGGCAAGCTCATTTGAGGATTCTTTACCAAGGGCATGGGGATAGGGTTGTTTTACAAAGTCTACAAATAGCTGACCATCCAGGATACAATGGATTGAGGTCTAATAACAAATGCCACCCTACTTTGAGGCCCCACATAGTTCAGCCAGACTTTAACTCTTAACTGCTAGCAGCCCTTCCATGATGATGGAAGACAATTTTTATATCCAGAAGGGATGACCTGGGGTCAGGGTCTGCTCTGATACCTCAGGATGTTTAGAACTTATACAGACCTGGCACATGTCTGCTGATTACAAACCTTCCCAGACATTGTTCCTCATGTGGTTAATGTGGTTAGCTTGTCTCTTGCTTCAGGGAACTTGGCGGGGTGGGGGGGGATGTCATGTGGATTGAGCTGCAAGAGCGCCACTACTGCTACATGCTGTGGGGTAAATACTGCGGGACAAAGGATACTTCATGTCTGAGAACCTCTGGGCTACCCCCTGCCTAATTTGCTTAACAGTCATAACTGTTGGCCCAGGAATACATGTGTACACCTTATGATCATAGGTTCTGATGAGCCAATTTTGTATAGAAGTCTTGGGGAAATGACATCAAACATTTGTAAGGTCAAAGGATTCCACATAAAAATGTGGCTCTTTCACTCCTCTTGGAAAACAAAAAATGGGGCAATCACATACTGATTCTACTATCTCTGTGCCCATTATAGCCTTGCCTCAGTGACAGCACAAACCAGCAGATGACACAGGCCATGGCCATTCCACAATCCCTAGGAATATTGGGTGGGCCACAAAAGCCACATCCTTAATCTATAGGGCCTCCCTTCATGAATCCAGGGCTTCCTGCCCTTGCAGGGATGGCCTTGAAGTGAATAGCCCTGGGATATTAAAGGAATACACGGAACATTTAGATTTTTTGATCTACCAATGATCCACATGCTGCTGGTTGTGCTCTTTTAGAGACATCTGTATTTGTTCTGGAGAATATGGCAGCACAAGATGAGGGTGTATAAGAACACTCTCCTGTGGCCAAGATCACTGTCAGAGAAAATCATGTCTTTTGTGTTTTTGTTTTCTCAATGAGCTGGTGTTTGCTAATTTTTGTGTTATAAATTCCTGTACTATTCTGGGCACTGCTGGCTCACACTTGTAAAACTAGCTAGTCAGGAGGCAGAGATCAGGAGGATTGCAGTTAAAGCTGGCCTTGGAAAATAGGGTCACAAGACCCTATCTCAAAAAAAAAAAAAACCTTTCACAAAAATAGGGTGGGTGGAGTGGCTCAAAGTGTAGACTCTGAGTTCAAACCCCAGTACCAAAAAAAAAAATTCCCCCACTGTGGTCAATTTCAAGCTACTCTGTTTGATGTCATTGAATGTGGAGTTAAACATAACTAGCTTTCATGAGCTGGTATTACATTTACCAATGGCATATTGCCTCAAACAAAGTGTTTCTACATCCACTTAAGGTGACACCTGCCTACAGATTTTGGACTTCAGGAGCCTTTTATTCATGGGTGGAATGGCTCAAGCAGTAACAATGCCTGCCTAGAAAGCATGAGATCCTGAGTTCAAACCCTAGTGTCCCCCCAAGAAAGAGAGAGAGGGTAGAATCCCAAGATCAAAAGATAGCTTCCAGAGGGATTCCAAGATGACGGCTAGAGGGAGGAAGCAGAAAGCCTGCCTCCTAAAGTAAAATCTTGGAGAAATGTTGGAGATACACCTTATAGGAAAAACCACCAAGAAGAGGCAAAACTTTGACTCCTCCACACCTCCAGCCTGTGCATAGCATCTCCACTTCACATTAAATGGAGAAACCAGGAGGGCTCCCACACCACTGCCAGATGCCAGCGCCCAGATGGCTTGGGAAGACGTGGACCACAGGGTCCGAGTGGCACTGGGTACCCCCACAGACAATCCTGGGCCAGATCAGCATAGCCCCCTGGACAGACCGACCCCCACCCAGGAAAAAAGAGAAAAAAACTGAATAATAAGCAATAACAACAAAAAAGACACATAGCAAAGAGGGTGGAGCACCTTGAGCGCCAAAAGGGGGGGAGGGGAAATCCCTCACAACAAGCCGGCTGGAGAAGGCAGGAGCAGCGGCACATGCCCAGCAACCAGGAGCAGGAAAGCTTGTAAAAGTGGTGCTGGGAGGAAAACTCCACAGGAGGGGGAGAAGACCCACTTCCCACGTGAACTGTAAATAAACACGTAGGCCTGAGGATGCTGGTGCAGTGTCACCTCCCCCAGTGTGCTTGGAAAGGGGAAAGCTTGTAGCAGTGGCAGTCGCGCCCAGGAGAACTCTTAAGTAAACAAAGCCTGAGAGGCTAGGTGAGTGTTAAGTTCACTCCTGAGATCTGCATAAATAAAGCCTCCAGCAACAGCAGACTGACAGCAGCGTGCAGTAAGCCACAGCTTCAGATAGCCAGTCACAGAACTGTCTCCAAACTCTTTTTTTTCTCCCTATCTTTGATGAGACAACAACTGAACTACACCTGCATGCTGAAAAACTTTCTGAGACTGTATTGCATTTGAACTTGGGACACTTTGTGGGTTTTTTTGTTTTGTTTTGTTTTAGTTTTTTTCCCCTTTGATGAGACAATGGCACAACTACTTCTGAGACAACATCTCCAGAATTGGAGGCTGAGGGATGAACACCAAAATTAACACTGAAACTTTATTGCATTTGAACTTGGAGATTTTTTAAAAATTTAAAAAATTTATTTATTTTTTATTTTTATTTATATTTTTTAATTTTCAACCCTCTCTCTGTCTCTCTAATGTCTGTTCAGCTTACTGTTGATTAGTACACTATCTCTCCCTGTTTATATCTTTGAAACATTTTTTGTTGTTTGTTTTGTTTTTTTACTACTTGTTTATTGGTTTTTCCCTTTTTCTTTAACTTCTTTGCTTTCCATCTCCTCTCACCCTTCCATTCTAAATATCCACCACTGTTATTATTACAAGCTAGAAAGTATTTAATTGCACACAGTGCAGGGACAATAACAACACCAAGGGCAATGATGGGGAAAAACAGGGAAACAGGTTTCCCCACAGCAAAAAGATAGTACAGGAACCAGAGGGAAATGAAGAAAACAGATACTCAGATCCAGACTCCAACAAAATGAAGATAAACTATGCCAAAGAACCCAATGAAGCCCACAAGAACAATCTAAAAGAAGAAATACTACAGGTACTCAATGAGAATTTTATAGAGATGATACTAGATATGGTCAACCAAAATGTACAGGAGACACTCAAGAAATTTCAAGACAACAAAAATAGAGAATTTGAAAAAGCAAAAGAAGAAATAAAAGAAACCATAGAAGCACTGTATAAACACCAAAGTGAAACAAAGAACATGATTAATAAAGAGATAAATGAACTCAGGACAAGAATAGACAACATTAAAGAGGAGATGACCCAGGATCTGGAAAACCTCAGAAAAAAGAATGAAACAGAATTGCAAAACAAAACAAAAGGCCAATCCAGCAGAATAGAACAAACAGAAGACAGAATCTCAGAACTTGAAGATGAAATGGTAATTAAAGGAAAAACTGAAGAACTATTAATTAAACAACTCAAGACCTGTGAAAAGAAAATGCAAGAACTCACCAACTCCATCAAAAGACCAAACCTGAGAATCATGGGCATTGAAGAAGGAGAAGAGGTGCAAGCAAAGGGAATGCGTAATATAGTCCACAAAATAGTAACAGCAAATTTCCCAAATCTAGAGAAATCTATTCCCATACAGATGCAAGAGGCCTCCAGAACACCAAACAGACCAGATCAAAATAGAACTACCCCACGGCATATCATCATTAAAACAACAAGTACAGAAACTAGAGAAAGAATATTGAAGGCTGTAAGAGAGAAAAAACAAATAACATACAAAGGTAAACCCATCAAAATCACAGCAGACTTCTCAACAGAAACATTAAAAGCAAGAAGAGCTTGGGGTGAGATCTTCTGGGCACTGATTGAAAATAACTTCAACCCCAGGATACTCTACCCAGCAAAACTATCATTCAAAATAGATGGAGCAATAAAAGTCTTCCATGATAAGCAGAAACTAAAACAATATGTGACCACAAGCAATCCCTACAAAAGATTGTTCAAGGGATTCTGCACACAGAAAGTGAAACCCAACATAACCATGAAAGGACAGGCAGCACCAAACTACAGGAAAAGAAAAGTAAGAAGTAGAAAGTAACCTCAACTTAGGTACACACAATCAAACCTTCAAACAACTAAGAAAACTAAATGACAGGAATCACCACCTACCTATCAGTACTAACACTTAATGTTAACAGACTTAATTCCCCCATCAAAAGGCACCGTTTGACAAACTGGATTAAAAAGGAAGATCCAACAATTTGTTGCTTACAAGAGACCCATATCACCAACAGAAATAAGCATAGGCTTAGGATGAAAGGCTGGAAGAAGATTTACCAAGCCAATGGCCCCCGAAAACAGGCAGGAGTAGCAATACTTACCTCAGACAAAGTAGACTTCAAACCTACATTCATCAAACGAGATGAACAAGGACATTCCATACTAATAAAAGGGGAAATAGACCAAAAGAAAAGAACAATTATCAACCTATATGCACCCAATGTCAATGCACCCATTTCATCAAACATACCCTGAAGGACATAAAAGCATATATCAACTCCAACACAGTGGTTGTGGGAAACGTTAACACCCCATTATGGCGAGCTGTTCTGCCTGGGAAAGTCTTGAGAGGCAAAATAGGGGCAGCTGGCTGGGCTGGGAGTCAGGATGGACGAGGACGTGCTGACCACTCTGAAGATCCTCATCATTGGCGAGAGTGGGATGGGCAAGTCCAGCCTGCTCTTGAGGTTCACAGATGATACTTTTGATCCAGAGCTTGCAGCAACAATAGGTGTTGACTTTAAGGTGAAAACAATTTCAGTGGATGGAAATAAGGCTAAACTTGCAATATGGGATACTGCTGGTCAAGAGAGGTTTAGAATCTTAGCTCCCAGCTATTATAGAGGTGCACAGGGTGTTATATTAGTTTATGACGTCACAAGAAGAGACACCGTTGTTAAATTGGATAATTGTCTGAGTGAATTGGAAATGTACTGTACAAGAAATGACATAGTAAACATGCTAGTTGGAAATAAAATTGACAAGGAAAATCGCAAAGTTGATAGAAATGAAGGTCTGAAATTCACAAGAAAGCATTCCATGTTATTTATAGAGGCAAGTGCAAAAACCTGTGATGGTGTACAGTGTGCCTTTGAGGATATTGTTGAAAAGATTATTCAGACACCCAGACTGTGGGAAAGTGAGAACCAGAACAAAGGTGTCAAACTGTCGCACAGGGAAGAGAGCCATGGTGGAGGAGCCTGTGGTGGCTATTATTCTGTGTTATAAACTCTGGGAAATTCCACCTCTTGCATATTTGATCAGATAGTGACATCTTTCTGTATATAAACTCTTAACTGCTATTTTAGGGACCTTGCAGTTTGCACATAATTGTTTTGTATCATGGCAGTAAACACTTGCAAGAAATCCCACTCATCGGCTTTCCCAGGTAAAATGTTATGGTAAGCATGCATAGTTTGCAGTCTATAGTTTTTTTATGTAACATAAAATAGATGTACCTTATGAGTACATTTGATTTTATGATTTACATTTATCATGTAATTTTTAAAACATCTATCTGTCTAGTATATGTTGACACAAGGTCTGCTTTTGGTTTCCTTTTGCTTAAATATTTTATCAATTACTGAATTACTTGGTATATAGAACACTTAGACCCACAGAGATATATAGGTATCATCAAACCTGTCAGATTTCCTTTGAGGAATAAGAAAGAGCGTGATTCCAAGCTTTCCTAGGATGTTTGAGAACCTCTTAGTACTAAGCAAAATTCTCAGTGCAGAATATAGTCCAGGTCAATTCATAATTAAAGCTCTTATTTGTCCTGATGATGCTTGTAAAATAGTATTGATATGTTAAAAATGTTTGGTATTACTTTTTAATTTACTTCAATGATTAGCTCAGTTGTTGAACTGGAGTTTTAATCCTGAGATGTGTACATTGGATTGATGATCCTTGTGCACTGTTTTTAGTTATGTGATGTTTGACAGAATGGCAATAAGGTTTTCCCCATTTTAATTTCAGAAGGACAGAAATAGTGTGTTTGTTATAACTCCTTCAGTACTTACCACTTTAAAAACCATCTTTTTTCATAAATGTTTGTGTGTTTGTCCACGTTCCACAACTGTAGCTTGTATAATGTTTATGAATATCTGTATCTTATGGCTTCCATAAATGGTTAGTTGATATTCAAAATTCTATTTCTGTGTTTCGAGGGGTGGGGAAAAAGAACACTAAATGATAACTTGAGAAAAGCATATTGCTTCCAGATTCTGATGTGTGGGAAAATGTTGTAATGAAAATCTTGATAATTTACTATAACAGGGTAACCAATAATTTATCAAAACCAACTTGTACAGACTAATAAATCTTTCCACAGTATTCGGTTTTCTAACCTCTTGGTATTGTACACTGTATGTTTTTTCACTCATATGTTATTTAATTTACCTTGACCTCTGCTATTTGAAGCCCTAAATAATTTATCTTTTAAGGCTGGACACCATCATACCCCTCAACTAATTTCTTGGCAGTTTATTCTCTATGTACAATTACAAATGATAAAACATATTTGTGGACCTTTGCAATATGTGTGTTAATGAATTTACTTCAAGTTGGGTTTTTTCTGAAATGTATATCTTCACATATGACAACCTCACATTCTACTTGATTTACTCCTTAGTCTACATTACATGTGATTAAAGGTTTTATATTCTTTATATTTTTACTAAATATGAACATTTACATCTAATATTAGAGAAAGATTGCTAATACATGTGGTTATGATTCATTTGTGTTGCATTAAACTTTAGATTTGTGTATTTATGTAGAGACTATATGGGCAAGACTTCTGTTTATTACTTTTTTGCTCTTTGAGCTATATTATAATATTTCTGTGCATTGGATTGTTGTCTTGATTTGGTCAAAATTTGGATATGTATGAATTACTTGAATGTAATTTTTAATAATTAATTTTGTTGATAGATTTATATTGTAACCTTTTATAGTTTTTAAATAAATATAGCCTCCCTTCCTTAAAAAAAAACACCCCATTATCATCAATAGATAGGTCATCCATACAAAAAAATCAATAAAGAAATCCTAGATCTAAAATATACAATAGATTAAATGGACCTACTTGATGTCTACAGAACATTTCATCCAACTTCTACACAATATACATTCTTCTCAGCATCCCATGGAACCTTATTCAAAATAGATCATATCCTAGGGCACAAAGCAAGCCTCAGCAAATATAAGAAACCAGAAGTTATACCATGCATTCTATCTGATCACAATGCAATAAAACTAGAACTCAACAACAAAAGTAAAGACAGAAAACATGGAAACAGCTGGAAACTGAGTAACTCATTGCTTAATGAACAATGGGTCATTGATGAAATAAAAGAGGAAATTAAAAAGTTCCTGGAAGTCAATGAAAATGAAAACACAACCTACTGGAACCTGTGGGACACAGCAAAGGCAGTCCTGAGAGGAAAGTTTATAGCCATGACTGCATATATTAAAAAGACTGAAAGATCCCAAATCAATGACCTAATATACATCTTAATCTCCTAGAAAAACAAGAACAAGCAAATCACAAAACAAATAGGAGAGAAATAATAAAAATAAGAGCTGAAATCAACAAAATAGAAACAAAAAAAAAAACAAATAATGAAGCAAAAAGTTGGTTCTTTGAAAAAATAAATGAGATCAACAGACCCCTGGCAAACCTGACTAAAATGAGGAGAGAAAAAACCCAAATTAGTAGAATCAGGAATGCAAAAGGGGAGATAACAACAAACACCATGGAACTCCAGGAAATCATCAGAGACTACTTCGAGAGCCTATATTCAAATAAATTCAAAAATCTTAAAGAAATGGAAAGATTTCTAGATACATATGATCATCCAAAACTGAACCAAGAGGAAATTAATCACCTGAATAGATCTATAATACTAAGTGAAATTGAAGCAGCAATCAAGTCTCCCCAAAAAGAAAAGTCCAGGACCTGATGGATTCTCTGCTGAATTCTATCAGACCTTTAAAGAAGAACTGATACCAACCCTCCTTAAACTGTTCCATGAAATAGAAAGGGAAGGAAAACTGCCTAACACATTTTATGAACTCAGTATTACACTTATCCCAAAACCAGGCAAAGACACCTCCAAAAAGGAGAGCTATAGGCCAGTCTCCTTAATGAACATTGATGAAAAAATCTTCAGTAAAATACTGGCAAACCAAATTCAACAACACATCAAAAAGATCATTCACCATGACCAAGTAGGCTTCATCCCGGGAATGCAGGTGTGGTTCAACATACGAAAATCAATGTAATAAACCACATTAACAGAAGCAAAGACAAAAACCACTTGATCACCTCAATAGATGCAGAAAAAGCCTTTGATAAGATCCAAGACCATTTCATGATAAAAGCTCTAAGAAAATTAGGAATAGAAGGAAAGTACCTCAACATTGTAAAAGCTATATATGACAAACCTACTGCCAGCATTATACTTAATGGAGAAAAACTGTAACCATTCCCTCTAAAATCAGGAATTAGACAAGGATGCCCACTATCTGCACTCCTACTCAACATAGTACTGGAATTCCTAGCCAGAGCAATTAGGCAAGAAGAAGAAATAAAAAGAATACAAATAGGTAAAGAAACTGTGAAAATATCCCTATTTGCAGACGATATGATCCTATACCTTAAAGACCCAAAAAACTCTACTCAAAAGCTCCTAGACACCATCAATAGCTATAGCAAGGTAGCAGGATATAAAATCAACATAGAAAAATCACTAGCATTTCTATACACTAATAATGAACAAACTGAGAAAGAATATATGAAAACAATTCCATTTACAATAACCTCAAAAAAATCAAATACCTAGGTGTAAACCTAACAAAGGATGTGAATGATCTCTACAAGGAAAACTATAAACTTCTGAAGGAAGAGATTGAGGAAGACTATAGAAAGTGGAGAGATCTCCCATGCTCATGGATTGGTAGAATCAACATAGTAAAAATGTCTATACTCCCAAAAGTAATCTACATGTTTAATGCAATTCCCATCAAAATTCCAATGGCATTCATTAAAGAGATTGAAAAATCTACCGTTAAATTTATATGGAAACACAAGCGGCCACGAATAGCCAAGGCAATACTCAGTCAAAAGAACAATGCTGGAGGTATCACGATATCCGACTTCAAAGTATATTACAAAGCAATAACAATAAAAACAGCATGGTACTGGCACAAAACCAGACATGAAGACCAGTGGAACAGAATAGAGGACCCAGATATGAAGCCACACAACTATAACCAACTTGTCTTTGACAAAGGAGCTAAAAATATATGATGGAGAAATAGCATCCTCTTAACAAAAACTTCTGGGAAAACTGATTAGCAGTCTGCAAAAAACTGAAACTAGATCCATGTATATCACCCTATACCAAGATTAACTCAAAATGGATCAAGGATCTTAATATCAGACCACAAACTCTAAAGTTGATACAGGAAAGAGTAGGAGATACTCTGGAATTAATAGGTATAGGTAAGAACTTTCTCAATTGAACCCCAGCAGCACAGCAACTAAGGGATAGCATAGATAAATGGGACTTCATAAAACTAAAAAGTTTCTGCTCAACAAAAGAAATGTTCTCTAAACTGAAGAGAACACCCACAGAGTGGGAGAAAATATTTGTCAAGTACACATCAGACAAAGGACTGATAACCAGAATATATAGGAAACTTAAAACTAAATTCTCCCAATATTAATGAACCAATAAAGAAATGGGCAAGTGAACTAAACCGAAATTTCTCAAAAGAAGAAATTCAGATGGCCAAAAAACACATGAAAAAATGCTCACCATCTCTAGCAATAAAGGAAATGCAAATTAAAACCACACTAAGATTCCACCTCACCCCTGTTAGAATAGCCATCATTATCAACACCACTAACAACAAGTGTTGGTGAGGATGCAGGGAAAAAGGAACCCTCCTACATTGCTGGTGGGAATGTAAACTAGTAAAACCACTCTGGAAAAAAATTTGGAGGCTACTTAAAAAGCTAAACATTGATCTACCATATGATCTGGCAATACCATTCTTGAGGATATACCCAAAAGGCTGTGACACAGGCTACTCCAGAGGCACCTGCACACCCATGTTTATTGCAGCAGTATTCACAATAGCCAAGTTATGGAAATAGCCAAGATGCCCCACTACTGATGAATGGATTAAGAAAATGTGGTATTTATACACAATGGAATTTTATGCAGCCATGAAGAAGAATGAAATGTTATCATTCACTGATAAATGGATGGAATTGGAGAACATCATTCTGAGTGAGGTTAGCTTGGCCCAACAGACCAAAAATCATATGTTCTCCCTCATATGTGGACATTAGATCAAGGGCAAACACAACAATGGGATTGGACTTTGATCACATGATAAAGCGAGAGCACACAAGGGAGGTATGAGATAGGTATGACACCTAAAAAACTAGATAGCATTTGTTGCCCTCAACGCAGAGAAACTAAGGCAGAT